CATGTTGGTCTCGCTATCGTTTACTTTGTTATAAAGTTTAATGTTTCTGTTTATATGTTCAGTTCGATTCTACAGAAATATGACTTCTCAAAAAGAAAGTGATCAGATTGGTAGGAGTTCAGTAGTGGATCTACTAGTGAAGATAAGTTCCATTATGGAATAATGTGACTAAGATAGAAAAACAAGGAACCAAAGGAGGAACTTGGCTATTTAGGTGTAATTTCTGTAATGTGAGTCAACAAGGCTCGTATTTCAGAGTTAGAGCACATTTGCTTAGAATAAAAATGCTGGCATTGCTATTTGCAAGAAGGTACCAGGGGATAAAAACCTTGAATTGCGGAATTTGGACAAGGACTTTGAGGATAAGAAAAGTGTGACTGGATCTAAAGAGGTTCTTTTGTCATGTGAAGCAAACTCCACCTTCAAAAAAAGAAAGTCTTGCTTTTCGCCTATTGAAAAAGCATTTGGTATTGAATTGAAGGATTAGTTAAATCAAGAAATTGCGAGGATGTTCTACACTGGAGGCTTGCCATTTAACCTTGCAAGAAATCCACACAATTATAGGTCATATCAGTTTCCTGCCGAGTACAAAATTTTTGGTTATGTGCCTCCTGGTTACAATAAGTTGCGGACAACCTTGCTAGACAAAGAGAGAGACAATGTTGAGAGGTTATTAGTACCGCTTAAGTCGACATAGAAAGTAAGAAGGGTGACGATTGTATCAGATGGTTGGAGCGATCTTACAAGAAAACCTTTGATTAATTGCATTGCTACTTCTGGAAATGGTCCAATGTTTCTCAAGGCTGAAAATTGTTTTGGCGAAGTAAAAGATAGGTTCTTCATTTCTGAGTTGATGAAATGTGTTATTGAGGAAGTGAGCCATAAAAACGTTGTGCAAATCATCACTGATAATGCAGCAACTTGTAAGGCGGCTGGAGAGATGATTGAGTGTATGTATCCTCACATTTATTGGACACAATGGCATACACTTAACCTTGTTTTGAAGAACATTTGTGCAGCAAAGAATGTGGAATCGAATGCAACAACATATGAGCAGTGCAATTGGATAACAGTAGTTCATGGGGATGCACTCGCTATAAAACATTTCATCATGAATTACAGCATGAGACTATCGATGTTTAGTAAGTTCTCTCCTCTTAAGTTGTTTTCACTTGCTGATACTTTTTTTGCTTCCATCACTGTGATGCATAAGAGATTGAAACTTATCAAAACAGGTCTTGAAGCCATGGTTATAAGTGAAGAATGGTCTACTTATAAAGACGATGACAAGGGAAAGCAAAATTTGTTAAGGAGAAGATTATGAGTGATGATTGGTGGGAACAAGTATCTTATATCATTGATTTCACAAGACATGTGTATGAGATGATTAGATTTTGTGACATTGATAAGCCATGCCTTCACTTGGTGTATGAGATGTGGGATTCGATGATTGACAAGGTGCGGTTTGAGATCTACAAAAAAAGAATCGTTCAAAGGATAACTTCTATAGTCCTTTCTATGAGGTTGTTCTTGAGATCTTAGTGGCTCATTGTCTAGCTTACTCTTTAAACTCAAGGTATAAGAAGAACACCTCTACATTATTCTTTATTTTTTTTTTGTC